TCAAGGATATAACATCCACTGACTTTCCCATGTCCACTGAGCCAGTTACCTCATCATAGAAGCTAATCAGGTTGGTCAGGCACGACTTGCCCTTTGTGAATCCATGCTGACTATTCCCAATCACTTTCCTCTCTTCCAAGTGCCTCAAAATGGATTCCTTAAGGATCCCTTCCATGATTTTTCCAGGAACCGAGGTAAGACTGACCGGCCTATAGTTCCCTGGATCGTCCTTCTTCCCTTTTTTGAAGATGGGCACTACATTTGCCTTTTTCCAATCATCCAGGATCTCTCCCGATCTCCATGACTTTTCAAGGATAATGGCCAAAGGCTCCTCAATGACATTTGCCAACTCCCTCAGTACCCTCGGATGCATTAAGTCCGGACCCATGGATTTGTGTACGTTTAGCTTTTCTAAATAGTTCCTAACCTGTTCTTTACCCACCAAGGGCTGTCCATCTTCATCCCATCTTGCGTCACTTAGCGCATTAGTCCGGGAGCCCACCTTGTCCGTGAATACAGCTTTCCTCACATCATCTGTCACTAGGTTACATCTTCATCCAGTAGGGGCCGCACACCCTCTCTGATCACCTTCTTCTTGTTACATGAATTCATTTAGCATTTTAGGGGGTCGCGGTATCATAAAGTTTGAGAACCCCTGGACGAATCGAATAGTTGATGCAAATTGCATGGACTATTCGATTAGCCAATTGATGGAAATTCCATCCACTACTCGATTAGCCAATTAAACGCTGCTTAACATCCCTAGTTGCCAATTTTCTATGCACAAAACCAAACACCCCGGGCCTGCCTCTATGCCCCACTTATTCGCAGCGACCCTACCTCCACTTGCTCAATCCCCTCCCCACCCCCGCCTCTGTAGCTTGCTCTCTCTCCCACCCTCACTCACTTTCACTGTGCTGGGGTTGAGGTATGGGGGGTGGAGGAGGGGCTTCGGCTGGGGAGACAAGCTCTGGGGTGGGGCTGAGGTGTTTGGGAAGCAGGAGCATGGGCAGTCAGTGAAGGTAGGGTTGGGGGAGGCAAGATATTTGCTTGGAGAAAGCTATAGATTGATAAGTGCATGGGATGTGTATGAATGATCCCATATGTAAGGAGTTATAAGATAAATGGAGATAAAATATCCTTTTAAAGACACAACATAAATGCCCTGATTTTTCTGGTGAGCAATTTATATCTGATGGTGAAGGCTTTGCAAAATTCTCAAGAATTATTCAAAAAGAGAAGGTCATTTAAGGATAAAGCTTCAAGAAAATACAATTTCAGAGCAATGCATTTTATTTTATGGTTAGTAAGGTTTAAAAACAAAACAAAGCCGAGGTTTGGCAGGATTTCTCTTCTAAAAACCTTTCTTTGTTTTAAGAGGGAATATACATGCATGTAAAAATAATTCCTTTTATTATTTTATTTTATGAATAACCTATTTCCTCTTCAAAGGGAGTGGGCAGGAATCAACCGGTTTCAAAGGGGGAGGAATGTGCTAAGAATAGATCAAACAGCAAGGGTGGGGAAAAATAAAAGGGGAATTGGGCTGGGCAGGTTTGTCCTACTTCCTGAGACAACTGCAGTCTCATCTGCGGATGGAACCTGTTTGTTGCCAACCAGAAAACGTGCACAGCTGATCAAGTCTCTTTATTCCATTCAATAAAGCAAGTAACTATCCCCAGCTCCCTCAAAAAAGCACATCTGAGTGACCTGGACTAGACCACAATTTTGGAAAAGATAGCAAATGCCATTAGTAGTCAGTATTTCTTTACCTCTTGTAACCTGTCACTAATGCATGGAAAGAAATCCCATTTATTTCAGAGGCAGAAAGAGACTACTTCTCCAGTCCTTTGCACAGCCCTGCCCAGTGCCCAGGAGAATGGGGCTGTTTCCTGAGCCCCCTTCTATTTGTTGCTGTGCAGAGCTGGTCAGGTTTTGATGTATTCAAAGTGGGAGACCCATTTGTTTTTGAGAACAGGCTAAAAATGCCTTTCCTTCAGCCTAAAATTTGCTCAGCCACTTAGGTACATGGAATTCATGCATAGGGTTGCCACGTGTCCAGGATTGACCCAGCTAGTCCGGTATTTGCACCTTCTGTCCGGTAAAGAAATTGAGAAAATACTGGACAGCTAATGACTTTTTTCCCCCCTCAACAAACATTTTTCCTGGGGTTGGTTTGTTTTTGGGTTTTTTTTTGGCTCAACAAAAATTTCCCTGGCGCTTTTTTTTTGGAGTGTGGTATTTTAGGAGAAACCATCTGGCAA